GGGAAAGCCCAAAGAGACCCAGGCTGATGACGTTCACAAACATTGACCCTCGAACCAAGACTTAACAATTCATAAACATGGCCCACACAAGGTTGGCGTTCGAAAAGTACCACTAAACCTTACTTTCACTGCATATTCACTTCGAGAAAATAAATGTATTTAATTATTTGTTTTTACTGTCATTAGTGTAATCCTACTGCCAATGAAAGGTCTCAAACGGCATATTTGATAGAGCATGATATACTGGATAACAATGAAATGAGGCGTGTATTTGTATTCGTATTTAACTTGTCTGACGATGAATCTAAAATTACTCATCACTACCCATCCATCCATCAAACTGACAGAAATATGTCATAAAACTCCCCACGATTGCTTCTATAAATAGTTTATCTGCCATATGGCCATATAGAGCGCCCCAAAACAATCATTCATTTCACACGATGTCAAGACAAACAGTGTTACTATATATTTAGAGATATATTTAGAGATCTCGCAACGCTTTCCTTTCCTGCGAGGGTCACGTCAGGCCTATAAGCAAGCGCAGACTTCATGCTATCTAAACGGGCAATATTCAGGCCTTACCAAAGAGCGTTGTCCGACCGAACACCAGTAATTGAAAAATTAATGTATTATTACTATCTATTTGATGTGATCTTCAGATTTAGCTATTCTCGACAGAACCTTCCATAGATTAAAGACAATGTGCCATTATTGCTAATAACAAAGGCACATTGAATCTTTGATAATTTGTTACTATATATTTGTAGTCAGTAGACAGATCTGAAATGTGATTAAGCAAATATTTCTATTCCCGTAATGCGTCATTGACCCAGATTTCAACTCTGTCTGCGACTGGCTCACAGCGTTCAGAATTAACAGACCTCAAACTAAATGGTGTCACTTTTTATATTTAAACGGTTTGGGGTTGTGCGCCTGTTTTAGTTTGATTATGGCTTTAACGTAGCATTATAAACAAACAGTCGTTACGGCACATTTTAATGAAGTTACTAGGACATATAATATCTCATTTTTTCAAACTACTCATTTCGGAAAGGGAATGATGCCAAGCTTGTATTTTTTAGCAAACCAAGACATGAAGCTAAGAATGAGTCAGTTCGATTGCAATTATATTAAATACTACTAGTATGACAACAATTTCAATCATTCACTCACAATCAGTCCCCACGTGAACACGAAGAATAACCCTTTAAGATAAGTAGTTACTGTATATGAATCATGACATATAGACTCAAAATTAAAAGAAATTATCTAATTGAAAACAATTCTAAGACAAAATGTGAACTTTAAAAAATGCATTTGCGACAAAAAAGTATCTGTGCTTAATGGAATTCGTAAGGTATAAACATGTCATGACGCCGGTGATTTACATAGTTTTATGCCTTACGAAGATTTATGTTGATTTCGTAAAATGTAAACCAAATGTTTGAGAATCCTTATCAATTCAAGTCATCAAGAGTGTATTAACTGGCACAATGTATGCCGTGTTTCGGAGTAACATCAATCATACCGCACTGTACTGCCACTGAGGCATGCGTATTCATGTACATCATACGTCGTATAATGTCCTTCGGTAAAAAGACAAGCATCCAGGGGAATCCCCCCGGGCGACTGGCGTTGTCGTACACTGGCACATCCCGTATATATCAGCACTACAGTGTTGCAGAGGAAACTTCATGTAGGATGAAGTTAGGATACCATCACACTCAGGGCAAAATGTACACGGTATATGTCATATATTGAACAGTTGAAATTATTAAATAAAAGCGACAAAATTAGGACTGGGACGAATAACTCGGGTACCCAGATGCTTTCATGAAACGGGGGCACGGGTGGCCCAGTCGTCTATGGCGCCGCGATTCTCTATGCAGAGTTGCGTCCCGTGGGCACGTCAGAAACCTATGATTGTGGGTTCGAATGCTGGTTTACTGCGATTATGTTTCTAGATTTGTCAGCACCATACCCATGCTCGTGGGTTTCACCGAAGTGGTAAACGTCTGAGACCTGCATCAGTTCGGTCTTTCTTCCCACGTTAAGCTGACACGCCGTGATATAACTGGAAAACTGTTAAAAAGCGGCGTTAAACCCAACTCACTCACTTACTTTAATAAAACTGTAAACATGGACGACTATTAAAAACAACGAAAAGTGCAAAGACTGAAGGTGATCGTAAAAGCTACCCAAAAAAAACCCCTGAACGCAACAATGGGTTTAGCCCATGCACGTGCAATACATGTAAAGTCACAGTCAGTGTGGGGGTAAAATGATTCAGTCCAGATGCAAGTGAAGTGCACTCTTGGAAGTCTTTGAATACTTTCATATCTTATTATCTGCGTGTCCCCTCAATGACGCTGAGAAAATAAATGTGAGACTTTCAAAAGCGTAAGTTTTTAGATGTGTCTTTTCACTAAACTATGAATTATTTTCTGCTTCTTTTCTAAATGCATATCCTCGAGAAGTTTCTCCATACTTGGTAACAATACCTAACCGGACTTATTTTGAAAACCATACCCGTGCTCGTGGGTTTCATCGAGGTGGTAAACGTCTAAGGCCTGCGTTACGTCGTACTCTCCTCCCACATCGAGCTGACACAAAATGGAGTTAAACAAAACTCACTCACTCACCCACTTCCTACCACACTTTCACTGCTATGAGTAGTCCTGCGCGGTGACTGTGGAGTATATAATTATATATACACTAAAAGCCTAGGCAAGTCTAGATAAAACTAAACCAAGTCTAGTTTCCTTGATTCCACGTGTGAAAAAAGCAGAGGAGGAAAGGTTGCGTAGAAAAAATAAATTACAATTATAAAAAAAAAGGTTTTCATAGACTTAGGGTTAGTCTATACTTTGAGTTGTGTGCAACGCTTCTCCTGTAACGTATTAAATGATGGCAGATACTTGAGAGAGATGAGTTGTGTTCCACCGTCACCACTATACGTCAGCCATGTCAAGGGGACGGATACAAGACCGGGCCAAAACCTTGTAGGGAAACAAACCTGAATTTATGACATAACTACTAGACCACCCAGTCATTTGACAATGATTTACTTAAATATCCAACACAACTAGAGCGGGGTCTAGTGCTAGTCTTCGTCTTTAAGTTGTTATTAATACAACTTAATATAGCGTTAATATGGCAATATCGTGTTAAACTGTCCTGATATCACAAGTCGAATATGAGAACCAGTCGGATATAACGAATGTATCGTCCAGCCACTGTCATCAAACTTACATTACACGTTTATAACGGACTTCGGTTATAACTACCTGACTTCGTCGGAGTTTACTATGTTTTACAGTAATGAAATCGAGGCGGGCCTGCTAACTCCGACAGAAAGAGCTACCAGAAACACATCAGCTGTGCTTATGATATGCTGGTACAAAGAGAGGTGCATGTTATTCATGGAACTGCGAGTATACCATCACGTGACAACCTTATCATTGATGGGCAGGAAAGTTAACATTCAAAAACATAACTTTGATATCAATGGGTGAAAAAAACCAATTGTTAACTGGTAATTCTATTTGAATACTCACACGACGAACAGCATTTCAAATAACTGTGAGGGAGAATATCGAATATCACCGCCTCCAGCAAGGCGGGGATCAATTAACATAATAAAACAGCACCACATCGTGGTATCCTGTGTCATGTGATGAATATACCCGGGGTGGAACGTACCACTAACCTACCCGAGACTGTACTGTTGTAGTTTACTGCTGTGATACAGACATGCCAGATTCATTTCCCTCGCTGTGTAAGACGGAGATTGTAATCTTTCCTTCATTAAAATATATATTGCTGTATGTTTATAAGCAGTTAAGCCAGATATGTCCCCCAAAGAGAGCTTAAACCTTATAATTATTGACCTAGAAATTTCCTACCAGTAGAATAGTTATTATAGGACCGCAGTTTTAATCCAAGCCATTGACAACTACCGTCCCTAATACAGTCTCCTGTCACATTCCTCTGTATATTTCTAAGACGTAATTCCCTTTCAACAATGTTCAGACTTCACTGGCGATGTTATGTATGTCAGGGTGGAAATCTGTTTCAACAGCTACCGTGTACATAACAATTCCGGTCGTGTTTGCCTCCCTATGCCATTGTAAGTGTACCGCCTGGGGCATGTACATTTCAAACGAAACATGTCATTTGCAACTCACTATTAATCGTCTTCATGTATTCATACCATCCACGTGGTCAAAAATAACAGCTTGACCCAATGTCCAGAGTGGTATTTTGGCCAATAAATCCCGTTTTCGTAACCGAGAAAATATCAGGGGTCAAGAAATGCCCGGTGGTTATATTTAGGAAGCTAATGTGTCTTTGTCATAGAGTGGTGTAATAAAATGATTGTTGTTTCGTTCATCGTGCCGGGGGCGATTGTCTGTCAGTCATTGCTGATTGATTTATTGACAATACGTATGTACAATATGCATGATATGTAAATAAACAAATTTTCAGCTACGGTGAAAACGACAGGGTATGTGAATGAAAAAATAATAGATAAGTATAAACCACGGACAATCATGATTATAAATTGACCTAAAATAATTATTTTGTTCTTCCCACTGGCAGTGCAAAGTACTTACACCCAAGACTTAAAGTGGCATAGGTCAGTTGTTTTAACAGTACGTCGTGAAATAAACATACACTCAAGTCTGTCTACTTTCAAATATTCGTTGAATTACATTTGATTTATTGAAAAAAGATAGATGAGATTTATTTCACGGCGAAATGTCCCCGTAGGCTGCTAATGAACATGAGTTATGCATGTTTACACTAAGAAACAAGACTTATGCATGTATACAATATGAAACACGAGTTGTGCATGTATACGATATGAAACAAGACTTATGCATGTATACAATATGAAACAAGAGTTATCCATGTATACAATATGAAACACGAGTTATGCGTGTATACGACATGAAATAATAATCGAAACCAAAATATGAAATATCACAACTCACCGGTTAAGGAAAGGAACTCTTGTAATATCCAAATCAAAACTGTAAAGTATTATCCGATAAATGTTTCCTCCACTGTACCAAGTTGTACACCAATCGGACCAGCTCAGTTCACAAACGCCAGTTCAGCGTCACTGAATGACAACTCAACAGGTAAGTCACTACAGGTGATCTCTGGTGATCTCAACAAGTTACACACAAGGTTTTCCCTCCCCACTTCACTGATAGTGTATACAAAACCATCCACCGTGACACACACGAAGTTATAAGGTGTTCCACACGAGAGAGTATTTCAACATTCCATATAGGATGAAAACTTGCCAAAACTCAGAAGACCCACCCAGACCTGTTCTGCCAAGCCCGTGGGTTGAATGAAGGAGGACTTACGGCTATCACAGACAAGCGCTCAGAAGCTCGTTGTCCGACCAGCGCACAACCGAATCTTTCAAGACGAAATACTACCCAATCTAGTTGTGCTTAACCGTCCGGGGGCAGTGAGGTAGCGCTGAAGCGCGCCGAGATGACGCATCTCGCTGTGATAAATCGTTATGTGGGTGGTGCGTTCGGTTGGAACGACTGTATCTGCAGGTTACGCATGTTAGACATTGAGGCTGGATTGACAATGCGTTGGGTAAGACAGGGTTTCTGGTATGCTGGGGATTGTGTTTAAAAGAATTGAAAGGTAAAGTACAGGTCAGCGTGATCGGTTGATGTCTTCTTAAAAGGAACTTCGTCTTGAGCGGGGCAGTCTAATTATGTAAGAACGTCAATTGGGAGACAACACTCTTTGAGAAGAGCAGTTTTCGCAACAAGTACATTCATATCACGGTGACACCAAGAATGGGCTTCACATACTGATTGTACCCCGGGATTCGACCCCTGAACTCTGCGGTATCAGAGTCACCGATCCGGTTACCCACCAGGCAATTTGATAAGTTAAACAATGTTTTATAGTAAAAGTGTGTGTGTGTGTGGCTGCTTGTACAAGTCCGGACTGATGCCTATTTTATAGTGGTAGCACACTGGGATACCACTGGGATAAATGATGATGATGATGCAGCAGTTTATCCGGAATATCCCACTCAAAAACAGTTTACCGTTTCTGAGCCGTCCAGTTTTTGTTTAAGCCCCTTAATGCCGAGCGCCAGGCAGAGTAACAACAAGTACGACGAGTATGACGAGGCCGGGATTCGAACCCCGAACAAAACTTGAATAACAGGAATACATTACAGAGTGAGTGAGTTCGTTTTATTGCGCCTTTCAACTAGATGTATCAGTTTATATTACGGAATGTCAGCTTCTCGCTTGTTTATGTGTTTGTTGTGTAACGCCGCACAGCAATATTCCAGCTATGACCTGTTAATAATCGAGTCGAGTGGACAAGACAATCCAGTGATTGATATGAGCATCGATCGCGATCCACGCAGCTGGGTTACGAAGCTATACAACACCCAATTCAGCGAGCCTGACCACCCGATCCCGTTAGTCGCCCCTTACGACAAGCATGGGTTGCTGAAGACCAATTTTAACCCGGGTCTTCACGGGTATGTGGGAGGAAGGCTCTAAGTGATGCAGGTATTGGGCGTCAGCATCTTTGTGTAAACTCTCGAGTACGGGTATTGTGCTGACAAACCGAAACACATAATCCATACCTACATATAATACACAAAATACATATCCGGTAGACATTCGATTACAAATCATCCGTCATACAAACCAGCGAACACCCTTACTGCAGGCCAGAGAACATTTGTAATACAGGCCAGAGAACATCTTACTTCAGACCGGAGAATAATCTGTCATACAAACCAGCGAACACCCTTACTTCAGGCCATAGAACATCTGTATAACAGACCAACGAACACTCTCACTACAAGAAAGAGAACATATGTCATACAGGCCAGTGAACACCCTTACTTCAGGCCATAGAACATCTGTATTACAGACCAACGAACACTCTCACTACAAGAAAGAGAACATCTGTCATACTGGCCAGCGAACACCCTTACTTCAGGCCATAGAACATCTGTATTACAGACCAACGAACACTCTCACTACAAGAAAGAGAACATCTGTCATACTGGCCAGTGAACACCCTTACTGCAGGCCATAGAACATCTGTATTACAGACCAGCTAACAAACTTGTTACAAGAAAGAGAACATCTGTCATACAGGCCAGCGAACACCCTTACTGCAGGCCATAGAACGTCTGTATTACAGACCAGCGAACACCTTTGTTACAAGAAAGAGAACATCTGTCATAGAGGCCAGCGAACACCCTTACTGCAGACCATAGAACGTCCGTATTACAGACCAGCGAACACCTTTGTTACAAGAAAGAGAACATCTGTCATAGAGGCCAGCGAACACCCTTACTGCAGACCATAGAACGTCTGTATTACAGACCAGCGAACACCTTTGTTACAAGAAAGAGAACATCTGTCATAGAGGCCAGCGAACACCCTTACTGCAGACCATAGAACGTCTGTATTACAGACCAGCGAACACCTTTGTTACAAGAAAGAGAACATCTGTCATAGAGGCCAGCGAACACCCTTACTGCAGACCATAGAACGTCTGTATTACAGACCAGCGAACACCTTTGTTACAAGAAAGAGAACATCTGTCATAGAGGCCAGCGAACACCCTTACTGCAGACCATAGAACGTCTGTATTACAGACCAGCGAACACCTTTGTTACAAGAAAGAGAACATCTGTCATAGAGGCCAGCGAACACCCTTACTGCAGACCATAGAACGTCTGTATTACAGACCAGCGAACACCTTTGTTACAAGAAAGAGAACATCTGTCATAGAGGCCAGCGAACACCCTTACTGCAGACCATAGAACGTCTGTATTACAGACCAGCGAACACCTTTGTTACAAGAAAGAGAACATCTGTCATAGAGGCCAGCGAACACCCTTACTGCAGACCATAGAACGTCTGTATTACAGACCAGCGAACACCTTTGTTACAAGAAAGAGAACATCTGTCATAGAGGCCAGCGAACACCCTTACTGCAGACCATAGAACGTCTACAATACAACGTCTCAGACAAATACATTCTGTTATATATTGAAACGTTGCATGGTTATAGCTATAAAAGAAATATACATGTACACAGATAATCAAAATACATTAACCAGATCTTTAAAATTTGAATGTATGAATATTCGCTCCCATTTTTATTAAAATAAAATAAAATAACTGCCATTAAAAGTGTGAATAACAAAAATAGTCTCCATGAGAAAGTGTTGAAAGTAAACAGGCGGGTTCTTCACGATTACATAAATGTTTCCGCCAACTGAGATGCCGAAATATTAATTTCCTAAACGGATTGAATTTGTTGTTAATATCAATTTAGATTACAACAATAATTGTCTTAAAAGCTGCTCAGATAATTTCTTTAAATGAAACGCGACCTAAATGGCGTATGACCATATCGATGACATTATCTAAAAGAGCACCACTTCTCGTAACATTGTGTTTAATATCCACGTAAAGCAAATGTTGTGGCTGAGGTAAAGTTTACAGCTCCAGTTATGACCTTAATTTGTCACTAGATCCTCGACGTATCTAATCAACACCGTTCTGCTTCAATGTTTTCAATTAAATCAAACAACATATTAGGTTTAAATGTGCGTTTTGAATCTGCGCCTTGATTTTATTATCAAACTAGCGCAGGGACAAATATCAAATGCCTGATTATTTGAAATGAATATCTTTTAATAGACATGTTTTTTTTCTCACACTTTTATGTAAGGAACACCCATGATTTGAAATGAAACGTTTCCTTATTTGTAGTCGTGTGGGAAAGATATAATTATTTATCAATATGTCTTTCTGATTATATTCTATTTGAGGCTGATACAACGCTCTTCCTTAACAACAAATGTGTTCCGCCATGCTACCCCCCCCCCCCCCCCCCCCCCCCCCCTCCCCCCTTACCAATACAGTATCGTCGCTATGGTTACTTTATAAGTAGTAACGCATGATTCATGATTGAATTAGCCTTAATAAAGGATATAAATGCTGTTAAATTATCAAATCTCAGTATCCATATTGTATAGGAGTGTCATTTTTTGTGGACCGCCTCCATGTTCTAGTGGTAGAGCGTCCGCCCGGAGAGCGGAAGGTCCGAGGTTCGATCCTCGGCCGCGTCATACCTAAAGACGTTAAAAGATGGTACTTATTGTTACCTTGTCTGGCGCTCGGCATTAAGGGGCTAAAACAAGGACTGGTCGGATCGGAGTCAGTATACCGTGTCTGAGTGGGGTATTCATATTTCACTGTGGCATGGTATCTCAGTGAGCTAGCACTATAAAACGGCATCAGTCCGAACTTGTGGAAGCAAACACACGTACGTGCACGTCGCTATATAAGTGCAATAATCTTGGACGCAACGTTACCTCATTTATTTGTGGTCTCCAAACTGTTTTTAAATTCACCATTTGGAGATTATTTCATTGGGGGAGATTTGTGTGTTTGTTGTTTAACGCCGCACTCAGCATCATTCCACCCAGACCATCCGATCCCGTTAGCGGCCTTTTACGGCAAGCATGGGTTGCTGAAGGCCAATTCTACCACGGATCTTCACGGGTTTTGGGGATACTGATTGATCGAAATGTCAGTGTGGGTCAATCGCAATACATCAATTGAAGTTGAAATATTGATAGTGGACATCGATAACATGCGTGAATATCGATAGATGTAAAATATTTAAACCACACCTTATAATCACCAGCCCTGTTAATACTTACCATCACCATTCCCTTTTAGTCTGAACTGAACAGTCACCAATTTACACCAGATTCTCATGAGAGCTACCTTTAATAACGTTCCCAGCAATCTATTGAACTTTGGAAATGGCATACGTGTTAGGTTTGATATCATCTGAAATGACAAAATAGGCAATAGATTTTTTAAAATTTTATAATTATGTTAAGAATAATATCGGAGGATCATTGCAGTAGAATCAGCATAGTGTTTTAAACTATCGCGATACTAATGTTTTAAACTATCGCGATACTGCTGCAATAGTTAAATGACCACAATGTCACACCTTGATCCAAAACGTATACCGTTATTGCTGTACCATTGCCACAGTATGCTAAATATACCAAAAGCGCAGACTGACTGGAATATGTCACATCATATGTGTCCTTCAACGTCAAAAGCTGTTTGTTGTTGGTTGGTTTAACGTCGCACTCAGCAATAGTCCAGCTATATGACGGCGGTCTGTAAATAATCGAGTCTGGACCAGACAGTCCAGTGATTAATATCATGAGCATCGATCCACGCAATTGGGATCGATGACATTTATCAACCAAGTCAGCGAGCCTGACCACCCAATACCTCTCGTCGCCTCTTACGACAAGCATACTCACCTTTTACGGCAAGCATGGGTTGCCGAAGACCTATTCTACACCGGATCTTCACGGGTCTCAAAAGCAGCTTGTGGAACGATGCATGTCGATAATAATTATA